ACCTAAGAAACTTCATACTCTTTAGCTATCACCACTCTCATCTTATCCTCATACCTAATCTGCTTATTTAACTTTTTTCCAGTTTTCTTCAATATTACTGACATAGAACATTATATAAGTTTAAAAGTGTACAATTTAATGATTTATGTATAATTTTGCAAAACATTTACCACAGTTAACATCCATTACCTCACAGTTACAATACTTTGCATGTGTGATAATTTTTAAGAGCTACTCTTTAGCAACTTTCAAATAGGCAATATAGTATTGTTAATTATAGCCAGCATATATTCTAGATGTGCACCTCGTTATCTACTCATCTGACAAAAGACACAAGTTATTTCCATGTCTTGCCTATTAGGAGCAATGCTGCTGCATGTTCTTTATTTTTCACATGGTTGTAATTTTTCTAGGTTTGTTCTTGTAACTGACTTCTAGTTTCATGCCATTGTCGTTGAAAAAGATGCTTGATATGATTTCAATCAAATTTATTAAGACTTGTTTTGTGTCCCAACATATAATCCATACTGGAGAAATGTTCCTTGTGCATGTGATAAGAATGTTTTTTGCTGTTGTTGGATGGAATGTTGTTAAGTCCATCTGCTAAATGTCATTTAAGTCTGATGTTTCCTTATTGATTTTTTTGTCCATTATTGAAGGTGCAGTATTGAAGTCCCCTATTGTATTGCTGTCTCCTTTTCTGTTCTTGTCTATTAATAGTTGCTTTATATATTTAGGTGCTTTAATATTGGGTATGTAAGTATTCCAAAGGTGACCCTTTTGCTGAATTGACTATTTTATTTTAGAGAAAGCAGGTTATATTTTAAAAACATAGATTACTACTATATTTATCCAACAAAACTAGTTTTTAAAAGTGACTCATATGCATCCCATCTTTGACCAAATCAACACAACAATGCAGTGCACAAAAGATTATATAGCTCAAAGCACAAATGGCAATACATGGAAGTAAATTTTTTCTTAATAAAGACACTACATAAATATACAAACCTACAGCTTTACTACAACCAATTCATAAGTACACGTGTTAGCCACCTTTCGCAAACAGGAAATGAGTGTTTTATATTTGGTAAATGCATATATAGTGTATGTATAAAACCTTTAATCAAATGTAGTCTAAAAATCAAAGCAGAATGTAAGGTTTTCTTATGTGAAGATGTACATTTCAGAAACAACCCAACTTGAGCTAAATCCACTATCAGAAGTATTGCAAAAGTGACCCATACAATGCCTACCATTTGCTTGTATACAAAGAAAAGCTGCTCAGAAATAGTATCAGGACCCTTACTAAAGGGTATTATGATAACCTTCCTGAAAGGACAAGTTAGTTATTTGGGGGCTTTAAATAGCAGAGAACACTGTAAATTAAATAAAGTGTGAAAAAGTATGCAATGTATAACAGCCAGAGGTTAGAAAACCGAATACTGTGGAAAAAATTTATTAGCCTGTGCAAGTTGGTTTTAATAAACTACTGGCTACTTGTTACAGTACATTACCAAGACTATCATTGCAATGGTACTTTTCCACACACATCAAAATCTGGAAGCAGTCAGTTTTTCTCAAATTGTCACTTAGTGTTTTTTTCCCAACCCTCAAAACACAGAAATAGGTTTTTGAATATCAACTAGCCATTTAGGGGACACATTAAGATACAGAGGTACATAAACATTACACAAACCAGAACAGTGGAAATCCTTTTTGCTATTCTGCAAAACATCACATAATTACAAACACTGCACAATGTAACCCCTTTATTTTATAATGACCTGTGCTGTGTCTTACTACAGTCTTTGGCTTAAGGTCTATTTTGTCTGATGTAAGCATAGCTACCCTGATTTCGTTTGGTTTCTTTTGCATGGAATAGCTTTTCCCACACCTGCACTTTCAGTCTGTGTGTGTTCTTAAGGCTGAAGTGAGTCCCCTTGAAGGAAAATATACTTGGGTCTTCTGTTTCTTTCCATTCAGCCAGTCTATAACTTTTGATTGGAGAATTTAATTTAGTCCCTTTATATTTAAAGTAAGCATTGATATAGGTATGTAAGCATTGATACAGGTATGGAGTTACTGTTGTCATTTTTTTCACTGATTCCAGTCTGTTTTAGAATTATTTGCCCTTTCTTATTCATTTGCTCTGTATTTTGTGATTTGATGATTTTCTATATGGGCATACTTAAGATTCTTTTTTCCCTATCTAATGTGTATCTACTACAGGTTTTTGCTTTCTGGTTACCATGAGGCTTAAAAGAAGGCATCTTGTGGCGGTTGATTTTAAGTTTTTAACAGCTCAATTTCCATACTAAAACGTTTTTAGGCCTGAGGTAACTCAAAAAATATGAAATGTACAATTGTATGTCATTTTAGGGAAGAGTTATCTATTCTCTTTCTGGTATCTGTGCTGATTTCCTCATTTCAACCACATCAACTGATAGCCTCATCTTACAACGATTGCTATTATGAAGGTACATCAGTAGTTTACTGGACTGCCATCTCTTTTCCCTTAAAGGCCAATTAGTAAACCATTTTATTTATAATACCCAGGACATTTTTTTTTAGTTTTAATGAATGGGGAATGATGTTCTGAACACCTATTTCATGGTAATTTACATTAATGTTATAACCAAGAACAGCATCTCCATTTAGATTTTCCTCATATACTGTATATCATATTCTCATTCATCTTCCATGGAAAATTAGATACTCATAAAACCCACCTAAGAAGGGCATATCGCATCTTTGATGCAGCAACATTCAGCCACGAAATTTCACACACCCGCTAGGCATTAATTAATTTTCTAGAGTGATCTGAGAATAGAAATGCATTGATATTTACTAGTCACAAATCTCACGTAGGGTCAGTATAAAACAAAAGCACATATTGAAATTAATTGTACCTATGCAAAAATCCATCCCTTGTAAATCTCTTTTTAAATTATTTTTTATTTTTTTTAAAGATTTTATTTATTTATTTGACACAGAGAGACACACAGGGAGAGAGGGAACACAAGCAGGGGGAGTGGGAGAGGGAGAAGCAGGCTTCCCGCTGAGCAGAGAGCCCCATGTGGGGCTCGATCCCAGGACCCCAGGATCATGACCTGAGCCGAAGGCAGATGCTTAACGACTGAGCCACCCAGGCGCCCCCCTTGTAAATCTTTTGAAGCATAAGAGCATATACGTTATCTAAATGTTTAACTTTGTATTATTCCTTATAATTAAGTATTTTGATGTAGAGAACTGTCTAAACAGAGTAACTGATGTACTGCTTTCTACTGATTTCTGTGACATTTATTGACATTTGAAGTTCAATTAAATACATTTCTAAATATTTATGTTTTTGAAGTTACTTTCCTTTCTGTACTCTCTAATGTTTTCTAAAGTGTATATTTAAAAAGGTCTTTCCTCATTCATACATTTGTAGGATTTGACTCTAGTGTGCATTTTGGGATACTGATTCAGGATTGAATTCCAGTCAAAGGCATTGCAACTTTTATACTTTACGGTTCCTATCCTGTACGATAGCTCTGACGTTGAGTAAGTCCCTCTAGAGGTTTACCACATCCTTTACTTTTGTAATGTTTCTCATCAGTAGGAACTCTCTGATGCTGAGTATAAGGCTTAAGTACTGTAAGGGGCTTGCCACATTCATCGTATTTGTAAAATGCTCTCCACAATACATTTTCTGATCAGGAATCATGGTTTACCATTGCTTAAAGGCCTTGACACATTCTTTACATTTGTTAAGGTTTCTCTCTAGTATGTATTCTGTAATGATTAGTAAGGTGTGAGTGCTGTTTAAAGGCCCTGCCACATGCTTTACATTTATAAGGTTTCTCTCCAGTATGAATTCTGTGATGTCGAGTAAGTTTTGAGTGCTGTTTAAAGGCTTTGCCACATTCTTTACATTTATAAGGTTTCTCTCCAGTATGAATTCTGTGATGGTAAGTAAGGCTTGAGTTGTGATTAAAGGCCTTGCCACATTCTTTACATTTGTAAGGTTTCTCTCCAGTATGAATTCTGTTATGACTAATAAGTTGTGAGTGCTGGATAAAGGCCTTGTGATTAAAGGCCTTGCCACATTCTTTACATTTGTAAGGTTTCTCTCCAGTATGAATTCTGTTATGACTAATAAGTTGTGAGTGCTGGATAAAGGCCTTGCCACATTCTTTACATTTGTAAGGTTTCTCTCCAGTATGAATTCTGTGATGCTGAGTAAGTGTAGAGTCATGTTTAAAGGCCTTGCCACATTCTTTACATTTATAAGGTTTCTCTCCAGTATGAATTCTGTTATGGTGAATAAGGCTTGAGTGTTGGTTAAAGGCTTTGCCACATTCTTTACACTGGTAAGGTTTCTCTCCAGTATGAATTATGTGATGTTGAGTAAGGTACGAATGCCTATTAAAGGCTTTACCACATTCCTCACATTTGTAAGGTTTCTCTCCAGTATGAATTCCGTGATGTCGAATAAGGTGTGAGTGCTGGCTAAAGGCCTTGCCACATTCTTTACATTTGTAAGGTTTCTCTCTAATATGAATTCTGTGATGACTAATAAGGTGTGAGCGCTGATTAAAGGCCTTGCCACATTCTTTACATTTGTAAGGTTTCTCTCCAGTATGAATTCTGTGATGCTGAGTAAGGCTTGAGTCATGGTTAAAGGCCTTGCCACATTCTTTACATTTATAAGGTTTCTCTCCAGTATGAATTCTGTGATGTTGAGTAAGGCCTGAGTGGTGGTTAAAGGCCTTGCCACATTCTTTACATTTATAAGGTTTCTCTCCAGTATGGATTCTGTGATGACTAATAAGGTGTGAGCGCTGGATAAAGGCCTTGCCACATTCTTCACATTTGTAAGGTTTCTCTCCATTATGAATTCTGTGATGCTCAGTGAGGCTTGACTGCTGGTTAAAGGCCTTGCCACATTCTTCACATTTGTAAGGTTTCTCTCCAGTATGGATTCGTTTATGTCTATTTACTGATGAGCAGACCTTAAAGGTTTTACCACATTCTTCACATCCGTACGGTTTCTCTCCAGTATGCATCCCCTGATGTTGAGGTAGTGCTGAGTGCCAGTCAAAGTCTTTGCCACATTCCTTAAAAATGTAACTTTTCTCTCCAGTATGGATGGTCTTAGGTGTATTTAGTCCTGATGACTGACTTAACATGTTCCCAGGTTTTTCACATCCAAATGGGTTTTTTCCCACATGAATTCTCTGATGGTCACCAACACTGGAGGACTGGGTAAGAGTATTCACATATTTATTATACGGATTCTCTCCCATATTCATACTCTTATGTATAATAAGGTTAGAGTTTTGATAAAAGACTTCCCCACACTTATTACATTCATAATGGTTTCCTGGAAAATGAGTCCTCAGATGTTTATCATCATTTGAGCTCTGCTTAAATGTTTCCTCAGATTCAATGGATTGAGCAATTCTGTCTCCATTGAAAATGCTCTGGTAATTCTGTAGGGTCGACTCCTCGGTGAAGGACCTCTCAAATGGATCCCACTTAGCACTTGGTTCTTCGTTTTTAAATTTCTGATTTTCAGAAACATTTGACTGAACAGTCAAACCAATCCTTTTGTCAGAATGGTTCAAATAATTACTCTCAGCATGGACTAGGTAACTTTCCAGATTTTCCAAACTGTCTTTCCCTAAATATGTATGTTTGAATATTTGATTTGAGATTTCACTTGCAGAATCACACTGGTTTTTGGAAACAGCTGACTTAAAAGGGGAGGTTTTCCAAAATGTTTTATATCGTTCACCATTTTGGACAGTGAGATTCTTATTATGGGCAGTTGTCTGAGTCTGGATATGTCCTTCATGATATCTTTGATACCCTTCACTCTTCCCATCATTGTCCCGGTCTATCATTAAGTGTAAATCCTCAATGTCACTATTTTTGTGTCTACCCATTGACACTTTTTGGAAAGAAGCTTCTATGCTCGGCTTTGGCATGAAGCTCTGGATGTCATGTGAAGATATGGCTGAAAGATATCAAATAAGAGAAAAGTAAAATCATTCCACTTACTACTCTCAGATAAATATGCTGACAACTTCTAATATACAACCTGAAAATCAGTCAGAGAACATCAGCAAGATGGCTGAGAAGGAATCATCAGGACTTCATTCCTGCGTGGACACATAAACTTGCACACAACATACTGACCACATAGCCTAACATACAGTTCTAGAGTCTTGTCATGCTGGAGCACACATCACTTTCCTATACCTCAAAAAATCAGGAAAAGTCCCCTATGGGCCCAAAATTTGCAGATGGGAGGAAATTTAAACATGCAACAGAAACGAACAAAATAGGAAATAGCAAAAATAGGAAAATATCAACAATTGGGAGAGTTGGTTTTCAGGAAAGATCAACAAAAATTAACAGACCTTTAACAAAATCAAGTAATAATGAAAGAAGACCTGAAGCCTCGGCGGCTCAGTTGGTTAAGGATCTGCCTTCAGCTCAGGTCATGATCCCAGGGTCCTAGGATCGGGTCCCACATGGGGCTCCCTGCTTAAGGGGGAAGCTGCTTCTCCCTCTTCCTCCGCCCCTCCCCCCTGCTTGTGCACGCTCTCTCTCTCTCTCTCTCTCTCTCTCAAATAAATAAAATCTTAAAAAAAGAAAAAGAATGAAAGACCAACTAAAATCAGAAGTGGAGAAGTGAAAGCAGACAGTATAACTGATACCACAGAAATACAAATAGGCAGTGACAATGGATAATTATATACCAAGAAATAGATACCAAACATGTGTATAAATTTCAAAAAAGATGTAAGCGACCTGGCAGACCCCATCAAGAAGAAATATTTAAAAATTCACAACTGATCTACAACTACTAATTAGATTGAAAAAGTAATTTAAAAACTCCCAACCAAGAAAAGTCTTGTGCCAGATGAATTCACTGGATAATTCAGAGATTTAATGAGAAAGTACTTCAAATCTCTCCCCACATTTTCAGAGAGTGAACAGAAGGGAAATTATCAAAACACTTTCTGTGACACCAGCATTACTAGGTTATCAAAGACAAGGGAAGACACTACAAGCAGAGAAGGTGACAAACTACTACCTGTAGTCACACAAAGTCGACAATAAAATAAAGCAAACTGAATCAAAAGCACATTTTACCATTCTACAACATAATTAACAGGAAATTCTTCCTGGAATTTGAGGGTGTTTTAACATATAGAAAACTATAAATTTAAGACTCCACATTAATGAAGATCAAAAATGACATATTGATACAGAACAAGAATATGAGCATACTGGACAACGTTTCATTATTAAAAATACTCAATAAAGTATTTATACTTTATAGAAGGAAACCACCTCAACCTAATAAAGGCCATATATGTATGAAAAGCTGAAATCTAATATATTTATAGTAAGACTATAAGCTTCTCCTATATGATCAGAAACAAGGTAATGAAGGGACTTCACTTTCAGTCAACACAGTAACGAATATTCTAGTCTGAACAAACGGTTAGGAAAAATACATAAATGGAATCCAAACTGGAAAAGAAAATGCAAATTTATCTGTTTACAGATGATAGGATCTATAAAAACCCCTAAAGAATCCTTATTTTTTTGATATTTTGTTGGTCATCACTAGTATTATTTATTTCTGCTAATTTTTTCAATTAGACACTCCATTTTCAATTTTTTTATGCTATAAATGTTTGAGTTAAGTTGCTTTTTTCAACTTTTTTTTCTCTTTTTTTTTCCTTAAAAGTAGGTTCCATGCCTAGCATGGAGCCTAACCAGCTCACCCAGTCCTGAACCCAAGACCCTGAGATCAAGACCTCAAGCTGAGATCAAGAGTCAGATGCTTAACCGACCGAGCCACGCAGGCACCCCCAACTTTTCTTCTTAACATTATTAGACAAGGAACTAGAAAAAGAAGAAACTTAGCTGAAATTCAGTAGAGGAAGGAAATAACAAAGAAATATCAGAAATAAATAAACCAGAGACTGTAATAAATAATAACACTGAAATTAATGCCCAGATTGTCCAAAAAATAAACAAAAATGTAACTATATTAACTAAGAATACAAGAGAAGTTTCAAAAATCAAAATGAGAAATGGAAGAGAAAACACAACAGATAACTACAGAAATACATAGTGTGATAACAGATTGCTACAAACAATCACATACCAACAAATCAGGTAACTTAAAAAACCCCCAGATAATTCCTAAAAATACGTACGTTACCAAGATCGAAATATGAATCTTAAACCCAAGAAATAGGAGATCTTCTCAAACCAGTAACAAGAAGGAAAGTTGAATGTGGAATAAAAAAAACTCCCAACACAGAAAAGCCCAGGACCACATACCTTCATTGGTTAATTCTATCAAACTTAAAAAAAAAAAAAAAATTAATGACAATCTTCATCAACATCTTACAAATGGTGGAATGGAGGGAAAGCATTCAAAATCATTTTATGAGGCCGAGCATTACCCTGGTAACAAAGCAGGATAAACACGATACAAGAACAAAAAAGTCTAGTTTATTCCATATAGGTGTTGGTAACTCTGGCTTTCTGTTGATGGCCATTTGCATCAGAAATGTTTCTCGAGGGCGTCTGGGTGGCTCAGTTGGTTGAGCGACTGCCTTCGGCTCAGGTCATGATCCTGGGGTCCTGGGATCGAGTCCCGTATCGGGCTCCCTGCTCAGCGGGGAGTCTGCTTCTCCCTCTGACCCTCTTCCCTCTCATGCTATCTCTCATTCTCTCTCTCTCAAATAAATAAATAAAATCTTAAAAAAAGCAATGTTTCTCCATCACTGGCACAGCTATCATCCGGCACAACACTGTTACAGTACCACTCACCACACCTCCTCTGCGGTATCCTTTATCCCCACGGCTTATTAATTCCATAACTGAAAGCCTGTACCTTCCGTTCCCCTTTACCCAGTTTGCCCATCATCCCTCTCCGTTCCACTCCAGGAAGCGGCAGTTTGTTTTTTTTGTTTTATAATGGGTCTGTTTCTGCTTTTTTTGTTGTTGGTTCTTACCATTTATGACAACGTGGAAAGACCTAGAAAAGTACTGTGGTAATTGAGATACGTTGGGGCAAGAAGGACAAATACCATATGATTTCATTTATAGGTGCAATCTAATGAACAAATGAACAAATAAAAGCACAAACAGACCCAGAAATATTCATTTCATTTTGAATAAGGTCCATGGATAATTCCAAGTATAAAACTTCCACGTTCCACACATTGTATAATGGAACTAGTTTGCCTATGACAATTTTCCGCTGATGGCAGAAGACAGGACTCCCAGATTCAAGTCCAGGGATCTTATGGCTCACGACACATCAAATAGCTTAAGCTTCTTGATCACACTAATTTCACTCGCCAGCTCCCGACCCCCAGCTGATACAGGTAGATGCTGCACATGTGGTGGGTTTGTGTCACATCTTTGAGACCCTGAGCATAGGAAACTCCAGTATCTTGAAGGAGCATACAGGGTACCTTCCTCAACTTTTGCCATAGAAGGAGACATCTCTGTTTTCCCCTACAGTAAACAAATCTGTCCTCTACCCAAGGGCAAGATATCATCACTATATTCCAAAGCTTTTTAATACACGCACATCAGAGGAAAGACAACTAAGAATAAAAACTTTCAATACCTCTATCCTTAACACATGGAGAAACTTAAAACCATAGAATTATCTCCCAACAATGTCCACCACTCAGTTTGACCCCAGCTTGGCTCCCGCCTAATTTTCCCACATGTACACCATCTTGTCAAACACTAATTAATCTGACACAAGATCTGGGATAAAACCTACTCAATTTGGGTCACCTGGGTAGCTCAGTCGGTTAAGTGTCTGACTCTTGATTTGGGCTCATGTCATGATCTCAGGGTCATAGGGTCAGGTCCTTCAAAACACTCCGTGCTCAGTGTGCATCATGAAGTCTGCTTGAGATTCTCTCCCTCTCCTCACCCCACCCCTGCCCCCGCCATGTGCTCATGCTCTCTCTCTCTGTAAAATAAATGAAAACTTTAAAAATTTTAAAAATCAGTTTACATCAGGAAACATTTTTCAAGGCTGTAATTGGCAAGATACAATGCAGAAGAACTGGGTGAGCTATAGCATTCACTTCTGCTCTGTCCCTGTGGGTCCAGGTAAACAAATCCCAGTACCCATGACGGTCTACCTTAAATTTCTGTAGTGAACTTCCTAAGGCAGAGGTGTGAAGAACACCTCAACTGTGTGAAAGCATACAATCTACACGTATCTGATGAGAGGATTTTGTACACCTAACCAAGGCAAAGCAGGTCCTGCAAACAGTGGAATCATGGCTCATGACAATAACAGGGCTGAGAATTGGGAAACACATAGGAATTAGGGCAGAGGTGTTCACCACCCATCAACAGGGAATATTATAAAGAGCAACGTAGACATAAAAGATGAAGGGGAGGGCGCCTGGGTGGCTCAGTTGGTTAAGCGACTGCCTTCGGCTCAGGTCATGATCCTGGAGTCCCGGGATCGAGTCCCACATCGGGCTCCCTGCTCAGCAGGGAGTCTGCTTCTCCCTCTGACCCTCTTCCCTCTCGTGCTCTCTATCTCTCATTCTCTCTCTCTCTCTTAAATAAATAAATTTTTAAAAAAAAAAAAAAAAGATGAAGGGGAGGGATGCCTGGATGGCTCAGTCAGTTAAGCGACTGCCTTTGGCTCGGGTCATGATCTCAGGGTCCTGGGATCGAGTCCCGCATTGGGCTCCTTGTTCAGCAGGGAGCGTTCTTCTCCCTCTGCCTGCCTCTCCCCCTGCTTATGCTCTCTCTCTCTCTGACAAATAAGTAAGTGAAATCTCTAAAAAAAAAAAAGATGAAGGGGATTTTGTAAAATGCAACAGAGGTGGTCACAATGTCAAAAATACTTTCGGTGGCTCTGAACTTAGATGAAAATCTGGAGGAAATGTTGATCGTATGACTACGGTTGACCTACTCTTTGTACCTGGAGTGGATGAA